TTTTTGGCGTAACTGCATACGAGTCCACACGTTTTCTCAAAGTGTTGCGGCTCGACACTGTATATATGAACAAGCAAAAGCAAACGTTCGATTACTTCTGTTCTTTTTTCAAAAGGTCGATTGTTTTCCAGAATTGTAAGTTGAAAAAACTTGTGATATCGTAAGCGTTTTCCGAAACTGCTTGCTATACTCGTCTCCTTCTGCATACGGTGGCTTTTTTGAATTAAGTTGGCAGCAATGCACTTTCCCATGATTTTAATGTTTCTGATTTTTGAGCAGTCGTACCTTTCCATAAAAATATGTGGTCTACAAACGTGCACAAACCTTTTGAATCTTGATCAAAACGAGTGCGCACTTCGCAAATTTACGATTTTAAGGTTGCACTGATTTGAAGCAAAAAAGAGAAGCGATGCCTCACTCAGTAACATAGCGATCAAATATTGATGATGATATGCTCGAGATTGTATACTAAGCTAGCAAGAGAGAAATGAAAGTGCAAAACAAAGCCCTGACGCCCTCTAGATCTCGTTTGGGTCCTTTCCGTCAAGAACTTACGGACATAAGTCAGTAACAAGGAAGCAATATTTCAGGCGCCGACACTTTGCCTAACGAGGTACATCTATGCGCTATACATGCATATAGAATTCTTTTTTTCAAAATAAGATGCTTATAGTGAGCTCACAAAAAAGCTTAGCATGTCGAATGAACGTCTTTTCGGCTGCACAGCAAAACCCTGGATGGACCAAGTTATAGCCAAATATGTAACAAGCTGTACTTTCCTCTTTACATCATATACTTACCGTAACCCCTACCGCGATGGCACAGCCTAACAGAATGATGGCGGCATTTGCGCACTCGTACCTAAAGTATTGCTTGAATACATTATATAAAGGAATAAAAAGGTATAAAGTTGCATTTCTTAGCTGCCAACCTGATATTTTGATATTCCTATATAAACTTGTCGAAAATTTTCGATAGTCCTAGGTCTGTTTCATTAGACTTGAGGGAAATACGGTTGATATCTAGCAAAGTACACTCCTTAGGCGCAAATACTTGGAGTGCGGCAAGCTGAGTGTTGAAGAAGGCTTTGAACATTACTCTGAAGCATGTGATAAGGAAAAACGTCGGAGTTTTTCCAAGAAAAATTCTGAAAATAACAAAGCCTTGAGGCAGCGTCCCTGCAAAAACCTAAGTTCGAGAATTTCCACACCTCTGCTTATCCGCTCCGCTGGTCCCAAAACTGCAATTTGATGGGCGCTATAAAATTGAAAACAATCTTCCGAAGCTTTCAATTCTAAGCTAAAAGTGGGGAGCAGAGCCCGGTAAGGATGGAGATACAGAGTCGTTGACCTACGACTCTGTATCTCCAGCCTTGCCGGACTCTACTGCATCTCATCCAGGACCTGCGGCCTTGACTGTGCGCGATATACGCACTTTAGTGGGCAGTTCAAAATCGCTGTACGGGCTGTTATGGAGCGAGAGATGGATCCAAAACATGAGCAGATTTTAAGTTTTGTAGCACCTCTTACTTTGGACTTCGCTGGTTACTTAGTTGGGACATTAGCTTTTGCAAAGCTAGGATACTCCAGCAGCCCCCCCCCCCACTCTGTCGGGTCCTGTCTTCTATGGAGAAGATGCGAAATGTGGTCCCACGCGCTATTTCCGCGCAGCTGTAAATAATTCAAGACTGCACACCCATAATGGTATGAGTACACGTTTTGGTATTCGTCATTCAAGACTGTTGTTACGGTGTTCTTTGTGTTTCCTGTTCGAAAAATTACTGTGATGCGCAATTTTCATATCCAGAATCAGCGGGTAGAGAACGTTATGCGACCAATAGCCTTCGCTCGCAGGGACTCTCTTTCCACCTGTTCGCGCAGGCAGAAGTATCGGCTGCATGCCGTCCCACAATCAACGAGAACACTTGTAACGGCTCTTGAAAATGCTCTACCGTATTCTTACATTGATGAATAAACTCTTTATTCCGTTCTACGCTGTATCAAAACAAACTCAAAAAGTATGTCAAAATCGAGGCCGAAACGTTGGCTTAGGTAGCATGCTCCTAACGCTAGATATTTGCGCTGCATACTCGCATACTCACAAGGGAAGGTTACCAGGTCGCAATGGCGAACCGAAAGGATATGCTTGTCATTAGATGCGTCTTGATGAGCTGACTATAAATCTACCTTTCTTATCTGCTAAGCACTTCTCTAGAAGAAGCTATGGGCGGTCAAAGGTAAGTTATCAAAATTTTGATGCGTAACGTGCTTTGCAAACCAGCTTGGGAGTGACTGGTTGGCATGGTTTCAAGTGCATTGTTTACAAGGAATGCAATCATACACCGAACACATAAATAGGTGTTTTTGGACAAGCAGTTTGTGAAGACGCGGCACTGAATGTTTGCCAAATTTGGACATTCAAACGCTTGTAACTCCTTTTGAAGAAAAGCATAGCAGATACAGAAGTCAGATTTGGAATCACTTATCAAAACGCATCTAAAAGTATGCGTATCATTCCAGCTTGCCACTGCGACCAGGCTTCCCTTGTTAACCTTCCCGCTTTGAGACAGACTATATCTACGTAGTGATTTGTAGGAGAAAGAAGCAAGAGTGTTAACTAACAAATAATGGGTTTCATCTTTACTTCTGATGAGAATAACCGTTAAATGGGACCAAACAAGTAGATATGGTATTTTTACGCGTTAATCATTTTGTTGAATCCAAAATACCAGCAATTTGTTGGCGTGTTGAACTTTAAACCTAACACATTGTTCGTGGAAAAATTATTAATCATGAAAGTTCACCACGCAAAACACCGAATTAATCATCTGTTACGTCGCATCTTTTCGCTGAACAAACAGTCAAAACGAATCAATGACGTCTGTTTACAACTTTTCACATGAAAAAATTAACAAATCGCTGTACGGAAGTAATGGAAAAGGGAAGTGCTTCTCGCATATTAAAATAACACTTTGCCACGTCACAATTTTCAAGTATAACACAAATTACATACATTCTTTACATCAAAAACCGTCAGAGTTGAGTTCTAATGGAATCAAAAAGGTACGGTGGTAACCAGAATGGTATAGGCTATTGCATGGCGAAGGCGCAGTATCTTTAGGTGCGAACGCGGCTTTATTAGCCGAAGAGCGCTCGAGGCGCATGAGGCGCGCGTATCGCCACCGTTTCACAACGGTGAAAAAACGCGCGCGTCGCTTTCGCGCTCGCTCAACTAATAGTGCTTCTGCGCCTTCGTCCCGCAGTGACCTTCAAACGTGTAAACAATCTCGTTTTAAAGTAAATATAGAATGTGCATTCTGAAAAGTGCGAGCACCATTCGTTGCACACAAGTAAGCTTTACAACCAGATTCTCGATGCAATTGTTTAGTTCGTTACTTATAAAGCTTGACGCCAACATTTGAATAAATTTGCATGCCAAAAAATCGATTTCCATACGTGTCAATTAGTCAACTTGTTTTTAAGTACTTGTCAATATTTTTGTCTTGCCTTTTCCTCAAAACCAGGTCTAGCATGCTCTCAAAACTTGGACCCTGGAGGTATATAGCGCCGCTAACATGTTGATGACTATGCAAAAGTCTTCTGTCTTTCAGGCCACGAATTTTCATACCAATAAAAATTTGTAGATAAAATTACGCATACTGCCATCTATAATATATCTAAAGTTCTCTTTAGAACCAGCGCGAAAAACTTTTGGACTGAATTCCTTTTAAGGGCTGGACCAGATTGCGCGGCGTAACGGCGTACGCTGATATAGTTTTGCGTCTAGCTCAACCCTCAAAACTTGTCATTCTAAGAAAATTTCAGTTCAAACCATGGGTGTAAAGTGGCCACACATGGTAGTCATGGTGTCAAGTATACGAGTTAATTACTGTCGTAACTTGATCTCTCTACCCTTAGTTTCTTTCCTTTGTACTAACATAACAGTTCTGACTAGATTATTTTTCATTATAACATATAAATGTGGGGGAACATAATTGGGGAGGGGACCACCGAGCACCCGGGGAGTGCCAGCTCATCTGGAGATTCTGGGCACCGCCCAGTTGGCGTGGAGACTGTCGGACCGTCTAATTAGTCTGCGTCTCGACAATGGCTATGACACGTCATAGGTGTCATGCGGTCGCGGGTGGGGGAACGAAAGCCGCCAGTTTGGGCAGCCTCTGCGGACTGCTGGTCCTGGAACGACATGCAACAACACTGCGAAAGGACCAGGTTGGATGCGAAAGGCGGCTCAAACTGGCGGCCTTGGTTCCTCTACCCTTCGCCTGTCTTAAGGGACTCTTTCCGCGCTCGTAAATGGTTGTCACAGATTCAGTTCTGCCAGAATAACTTTTTCCTTCAGAAAAGTAAAAATCGTAAGAACGCTCTCAGCAATGTTTTGTTTTTTTTACACATATTCTTGCTACCTTTCGATAGTAGAGCCATAATTTTTAAAAAATGCTTTTCATCAGTCTAATTTGAAGGCATAGAGAAAAATATAGCAAAATAACTACCATAACAAAAGTTTTGATATTGAAAACCCTGAATACAAGCGTCGATCCAAAAATCAGCATTGTATTTTTTATCTTCCGCGCTAAAACTTTCTGACCAGTAATTTTCACTACATTTTATTTTTCCTTGGTTAAATTGATGAAAATGTCTCCGATGTACTTCGTTTGCAGTACGGTTATTAGGCAAGTTCAAAAAATACAAATCCTGTAAAATTTAAATCTATAATGATATAAATCCTGTAAAACTAGTCTTTTATATGTAGAAAAAAATTTTTTAGCTAAAAGTTTCTGAAAATTTGCTCAGTCTTTCTGTCTTCAAACTATAGTTTGAACATTTTTTCACATAGAGCTATCTTTGATCTTCCTCCTGTAGCAAAATTTCGATATCACATATCACGTTCACTATCAAACAAATATATCTCACGTTTGAAAAAAAAGTTGTCAATGTTTTTGACAGAAAGCAGAACGGTTTCATGCATACGACGTCTTTCAGGCCATGTACGTGCACTCCAGCTATGCCTGCACTACCGCAGTTGTCTCTACCACAATTGACTCTACCAACTCTCCCACCACTACAGCTCCCTTCACTACAACTTCCTCCACTACAACTACCTTCATTACCGGGCCTCTTCCCACCAGCAGGACCACAATGCTGCCCACCTCCACCAGTTCAAAATCCATGTATACCCTGCGGACCGCCACCCTCGTGTGCTCCATGTGGTGGTGGAGGAGCAGCACCCCCTCCGGGGCCTGCTTGCACACCATGTATATGTGTGCCTTGTGGACCACCTCCACCACCTCCAACACCCCCTCCCATGCCTGCTTGTACGCCATGTGTATGTGTTCCTTGCGGACCACCTCCACCACCTCCAACGCCCCCTCCAATGCCTGCTTGTACGCCATGTGTGTGTGTTCCTTGTGGACCACCTCCACCACCTCCAACGCCCCCTCCAATGCCTGCATGTACACCATGCGTGTGTACACCGTGTGCTGGACCTCCAGCATTGCCTGCTGTTCCACCAACAGGTGGTGGAGGATACGCTGTTCCACCAACAGGCGGTGGCGGATACGCAGTCCCACCAGGCGGTGGAGGGTACGCAGTAGCAGGGAAGTAATTGACAACGTCGCACAGAGCTATTTATCTGTATATTTGTTTGATTACACATCAGCGAACGTCCTCTTTCTCTACACTGTTTTGATTGTGGTCATATTCTGCACTATGATCATTGTATGTTTCATTTTATTATTGCATTTGTCATTCCTAGCTTTCTCACAGCGTATGTATGTCTGTATTTCACCGCATAGAGTAATCTATCTCGCACTTCAGGAACATTGTAGTCTACGTAGGAGTTCTAGTAAAAGTCATTTGACAAAAACTGAAATAAACTTTTATTTGAGAAGGAAATATGCATTAAAACCAATATGTAAATGAGAAAATAGAGAAAATTATTTGAACTTTATTTGAGACAAAAAAATGTACCTGTAAGAATGAAGGAATGTTCTACGTTGTCAACTGTACAAAAATATAACCATAATCAAAAGTTATGATCGTGTCCGAACATCACGAAATATGATCTTCCTTTTTGAAATACTTGTGTGTTTTTTAGAATATCTCCTTCTATTTGAGAAAACACCATATCCACCTCCACCCGTGCTTGATTCCTCTTTTTCTGAATCGCTGACTGGCGCTGCACCATCTCCTTCACTTGCAGTACAAGGTCCAGGTCCTTCACACTCGGTTTGCGCTGGCGGTGACGGTGGCGAGGGTGGAGGTGGTGGTGGTGGTGGAGGTGGTGGTGATGGTGGAGGTGGTGGTGGCGGGGGTGGTGCCGCGGGTGCTTGTGCTGGTACATAAACCACATAAATCGTTGGTTGCGCTACTGGTGCTGCTGGTGCAACTGGTGCTGCAGGCGGCGGTGGAGGTGGTGATGGTGGAGGCGGAGGTGGCGGAGGTGCAGGTGGCGGTGGAGGTGGTGGCGGAGGTGGTGGAGGTGGTGGAGGTGGTGGAGGTGGCGGAGCAGGAGGAGCTGGAGCTGGAGCAGGAGCACATGGACAACAGCAACAACATCCTACTGAAGGTGGAGGCGGAGGCGGAGGAGGTGCAGCAGGAGCGCAACAACAGCATCCTCCCGCTCCTGCTACTCCTATTGACCCTCCTGCTTCTGCTCCTCCATGTCCTTCTGGAGCTGCTAGACCTATTATGGGAGCGCCTTTGAGCCACTCTTCAAGTGACGGCAGTGCCCTAAATACGATTGATTCGACTGAATGGATTATCAAAAAAAAAGATATGAAGGCAAGTGCTTACAATCCCATAAAGTTTGTCATGCATAGTGCACTAGCGAATAGTAATGTGAATAAAAACAACCGCAGCATCGTCAGCAAACGTTTAAATGAAGCTATTTATATATAACGTTTCTTCTCTACGTGCTCTCCTGCAGTTTGAAACCATTTGTGATTTCGGTCATCAACAAAAACTATATTGAGACGATCTCAATCGTTACTCGGTCGTTCTTCGTACGCGACGGCCATCTTTGATTGATAAACTTCAAGTGGAACCTAGAGATTACTCAAAAGTGGAGCGTACGCAACCTTCCAAATTTGTTATGACATGAACAACAACCTTGAAACTTGCAACTAAGTAGCGAAAAATTTAACGTGCACCTGTCTGAGATTGTCGATGAAGGTCGTTCAGAGAGATTTTCAACTTTGAGCTTGCATGCCGCGTTTGCTTCTACAGTCTAATTTCTCAAAAGTTCATTTTGTTGGACTGAGAATTTTTCTGGTGAATTCGATTAGATTGCAGATTATATTGATATGGACAAGAAGACTGCCTTTTGATATAGAGTCTATTTCAAATTTTTCGCTACTGTCACAATTGTATTCTTCACGTTCATCGTTGTCAAGAGTTATGAAGACGCTTCCATTTTCACGAAAAGTCTTTCTTTCAAAATCTGGCCGCACTTTGACTCACTTTTTGATGGCAGCACATTTACTTGTTCTGAATGACTTTATTAGATTATTTTCTTCCGAAAGGAACGAATCGAGAGCAAAGAAAGAGGAATTATAAAATCTGTCAAGTTACCCAATATGTAATTGAATTTTAGCTAAATTGGAGATGAGGTCAAAAGTGAGATTTCTGTGAGCTGTTGCGAAGCAATAAACACATTTACGTAACATATTCCGCTTGTCGTTCTAGAATGCAAAACCAACGTTTTGATATAAAATGGCTCACAAATACTTTTGACACGAGAATTCGCATATGCCACTGTACGATCCCTTGCAGCACACGCAACAGTGAAAATATCATAGCAAAGAATGTAACTTTTTTGACATGGTCTTTACTGATTTGAATAATCAGATCTAGTTCTAGAGACTGAAGCAATTCGAATGAGAGTACATTTTTAATTCTCAGAGCGATGAGTTATAACTTGAATAAGACTACAAAACTAGAACCAGCTGTACCTGACAAATCATAATTCTTAATTTTATGGAAGAAGCTCATTTTTTGAGAAAAGCTTATGGAAGAAAAAAATCAATCTGCAAACTTCTCTCATTGGCAGAATGATCTTGAGTCAAAGTGTACGTGGGTAACAATATGTGATCCATAATACTCGCATTCTGGTTCCGTGGCTTGAACAGGACCGGATGCGTGGCCTTCCTGCCAACTCCGGGTTGAAAAAGCGATTATCAGTAGTTCACATGATGGCATCAAAAAATCAAATGAGAGAACGTAGTAAAGGCACACAGAGAGCCCAAACGTACCACACAAAGAAAATAAACTAGATTAGTGATTCTCCCATTTCATTGCCCAACCCAACCTACGCTCATCCTCCGCTCTCATTGACCACTCATTCTGTTTCAAGTCCCCTTTATATGAAACAAATGTTTGGTGTAACGAATCATACCTTCTTTTTGAGACCTACCTCAACAACTACATTACTGGTCCCCGTACTCTTGATAGCGTATTTTGCAAACTTATATTTTGAGCCATTGATTCAGTTCTTATTCAGCATAGTCAAGATGAGTTGCTATAGGATCTTGGATACGTAAAACAAAGTGAGTTGGCTTGTTTCAACACCTTGTTTTACGGCCTGTTGATACAGAAAATAGAGAAGAACGCAACGAATTGACAGAAGAATATCTTCAAATGTCTTAGCATTTTTTGAACGCCAATCTACACCACTACCTCTCTCATATACTTCGAATGGAGCTGCGCTGCAGACTCTCACTCCTGCCTTTATTAATCCTCTCACCTCCCTAGGTAAAGAATTAACAAATCTAATTACAGCTAGTCCCAAAAGAATTTGAGCCTAGTTTACTGAGATAGCAAACTTTGCGTACATGAGTCCTATGTTTAACTGTTGATAATTCCACAAAAAATCATACTGTTTGCATTTTACACTCTCAAGAAATTGTTCCTACAGGCGAATCTTACTACTATTTGAGATCAAGTCAGTGTATACGTGCCCATCATTTAAACAGAAATAGCTCTTTGCCTTTTAAGCTTTTGCGATACCTTCAGTCGCAGATTGTAGAGCTAGCTTTTCTCTACATTTATTCGAGTCGCTAATCTAAGCTGTAAGACCAGCGTATTTTACCGAAATATTATTATAAATTTCCGAGTATGCCAAATTTAGGATTTCTTAATATTCTTAAGAACTTGATAGCTACATTTTACAGCTACATTTGACGGTTTTGCTAAACACATATAAACTTGTCAGACTGTCGTGCTTTCAGCCGCCGGGTAAAGAGCCCATGACTTTTCTTTGTGATCAGTCATAAAAAGCAAGGCTTGCTCTATCCACTAGATTCTGGGCAGCCTGGGAAGCTTGCTTCAGAAGGTGTTTATCTCGACGTTAACTACTATCCGCCGCGATACATGATTACCACATGCGTCTGAGGGCCTATGTGAAGGCCAAAGAAGCGTTTCTCAAAATCTGTGTGTACGTTGTTATTTTGTAGATTCTTCACAAACTACATGCTCTCATTCATATACCCATGTTGATTCGTAGACTCATAGTTAAAGGAATACTAGGCTCAAAGGCTTTTGGAACACCTTGTAATTGATTGCTTAGCAAACTACGATCTGTTAACTTTCACAGTCGCTTTATGGGTTGCTATGGGTTAAAATGCCCTTTTTCGTCCTTCACAAATTTGACGGCTCACCAAATGATTGATGTCATACGGAAGAGATGAGATGGAAAGATTAGAGCAGGGTCATCAACTCTATTTCATATAGGAAACCTGAACAGTATCAAATTAGTTCTTGCCTGGCAAGTTATCACGCAAGAAATCTCTGAATAAGAAGAGAACTGCATTATGGATAATGGAATATTCCATCGAAAACCTATTACTTTTGATTGCTTTAATACGCCATGCGATAGCGAAAGCTGTTTCTCTCCTTAAATCACTAATCTGACATAGGACCCCTTTCATTTTTGAGCTTTGTAAAGTTTTGTCATTCATGAAGGGAAAGAAAGTACGAAAAGGAGATGCAAAAAGATCAAAGAAAACATGTTTACAGGCACCTTTGGATCACTCGTCGTCACCTATCGCGAGGTCCGAAGCATTACCGCTATGTACGTCATGCGTACAATTAGCACTTTTTATGGATTCGGTGAATACGCTTCTCGATCAATATCATCAATCCAATGGCCCTATTTATGGCCAACAACTTTGAACCAGGGCCACAAATACGATACCGCTCACAATTCGCCAAAAAAGTCGCTGGAGTGCTCTGCAGTGCACCGGAGTGCGGCAGAGTTCGCCACACTCCACTAGAGTCCGTCGAAATCCGCGCTCGCATCGCCGTATTTCGCTTCAGAATGGACGAATTCCTAATTCGAGGACACCCTTCGATTCAGCTCGGCGAGAGCATTACCTAGTATATAGAAGTGCCACAGTGTGCAGGGTACGATAGGTATACGGTAGACAATAAATTTCTTAATTTCGCAGATTTTTGTTTGGTTGGATTGTTCATTGTGCTGATAACAATAATGCCATTGATTTCTCGCTAATGACACGAAGTAGATATTCTGTAGGAGTATGGTAGAGAGTCACTCTGTTCGAATTTGCTCTAAAATCTGCGCAAGATCACAATGCCGCTCACAGAATGTGCAAAATTCCGTGAACTTCGCGGAATTCCGGGAATTCCGCCAGAGTCCGCGATATTCCGGGAAGTTGGCGACATTCCAGGATCCGCGGAATCATGGGAATCACGCAGAATACGTAACATCATAACTTCCTTCGTAATAAATATAATCTGAATCCCAAAGCAGCGTTGTGTTCAGCTCGTCGAGGCAAATCTTTTGATATAGAGCATGCTCTAGATATTTCGTTTTCAGTTTTCTCGAATTTTTTCTGTGGAGGGCTTTTCGCAAGAATGTAACGTCTGTTGATATAAAAGATTTCAGTAAGCACCATTCGACAGTACTGTTCTTGTAGGTTATCGTGCGTTCAAAAGTAGCTGCAGACTGTCTTCCAAAACAGATAGAAGCGTTGGTGAATTTCGGAAAAATTATGAGTTTCCAAATCCTACTCGCCGTAAATTCCTTCGGAATGAATATATTTTGAATCCGAAAAGAGCATTTTGCTCAGCTCATCAAGGCAAATTTTTCGAAATACAGCTGTCCATATTCCGATTTCAGTGTTTTCAAATCTCTGTGGACGTCTTTTCACAAAGGTGTAAAGCAGCGCGATTGCCCCTAACAGATTCGAGCAAGGACCGTTCGATAGTACTTATTCTGTAGATTATAGAGCGCTAAAAATTAGTCACAGCCGTCTTCTATTGGAGATAGAAGGGCTGTTAAATTGTAAAAAAAATCTTGTCTTCCCAAATTCTACTCGTCGTAACCCTAATACAAAAGCCCTATGAGGCAGTTTTTAGAGAACTTCGGGCTATTTTTTATCATTTCATGCCCTGAGGCTCGCCAGTGGGCTTTGGTCGAACTGTTGATGACCTTGGTTTGAAAGGAAACTCCGCTCATAGAGGTTCTCGAACGCGCTATTTATGAAAATCGTGTTTTCTGTCAAGTATAGGGTCTTTTTGCGGAGATATGGTAAGGTAACTGTAACTGAGTCACGAACGTTCGTCACTTCGTCTTCACTTCTCGCGTGTCTGTCAGAAAACTTGCCTGCTTGCTTTTCTAAGTCAAAGTTACTAGGAACTGTGAGATCGAATGGTGCATGACTCAGGTTCCAGTATATAAAATCGCCGAGTTATAAGCCTACGAAAACACGTCCTCACGTCCTTGCCCAAAATGTAAAAATCGCATATCGTCAAAATTCCACCGTGAGTGGTTCTACAACACTGATCAAATCTGTTCACATCGCTTGATGGACCTTCCTATGCTGGATTTGATAGTGAGATAGATCTGAGCTCTAGCCACGAAGCTGATTCAACTAACAATAAGCAGCTGAAGCACACTCAACCACCATATTCAGCACAGTGGGATTCCTTGGGCAAAGTGAACATAACTGCAACATAACATAACATAATTGTATTTAGACTGTCATAATCAGTCACGGTGGAATTTCGACGATATGCGATTTTCGGCGATGTCCTCTTGAATCGGCCTGGCTGAGTGAAATTTTGATAGAGTAAACCTACCGTGTAAAATCTACAACCTAACGTATCATACACTGCTACATCCGAGAATTGCAGTCGTCCTGTACTTGCCTTGAGCAATTCAAGATGACTAGTTCTTCAAATGCCTAATGAGATAAACACTGCGTCGATCTTTTCTCCTCTACGATAATACAACGCTTATTCTTCACCATTAACGTCTCATTTTACCACTTCTATATGAAGGAGCGTCAAAGTCAACGTTTCCTAATTTTACGCTATTTCATCAAACAATTTCTAGTGATGGACTCCTAAATCAATCTAGTTCTTTTCATATTTTGATAGAACGAGTTTTTCTGGTGGCCGTCATCTTTGTGGCCTTAGTGGATTTTGATGGTAAAGCTCTCGTAGAAACCAAAACCTTTATTCTCCGCAACTTAGGAAAATGTGGAGGTTTCGATGACTTCAGTGGCGAAGGCGGTTGTATGCTCGCAGTAGGTAAGGTAATTCACCGGCTTTTATTCCGGATTGAATGATAATAATTCCGAAAAGGGGCCCCTTGCGTGTGTTCTTCTGCTATTTCTACTCTCCTCTCCTCGCTTGATGGAAACACTTATCGATGTCTCCCTCTCCCCATTCCCTCACCTGTCAACGTTTGAACTGGAAAGGTCTCATTTAGCTACTTTCACTAGTGAATACGGTAGAAGCTGAGACTATCCATATCTTAAAGAGACCCTGTTCCTGCATCGCATAGTCGCGACAAATCTTCCTTACTTTGAAATCGTACATGGTTAGTTAAGATAAAGAACTCTGAGATACGCAACAATTGCTGACTCACTTTCCGAGTCCGAGCAAAGGAAAAAACATGTGAAAAGTTGGTATCAAGCTGGTGTGCTCCGTAAGTTAACAACATGCTACGATTTAAGAATGGTAGAATGTAGTGTACGATGTAATAGTGCTATGGGTGATTTTGCTCAAGATGACTTACTATCGGCACATATGAGCTGCTAAAGGGTCCTTTGACTATGACAGTCAATGAGTCAAAAATGTAATAAAATGCAGACTCTCTTCATAGGTGCGTACCTATTGGTCACATGCGTCTTGTGGTCTTTACCACATGCGCTAGTTAGCGAAAAAGTTGAGAAATTTGCTGAAATGCGAAAAATTACTAGTAAAGAAGGTGATCCTATGCTCACTCACGACAGGGCGCATGTGGTAGACCAAATTAGAGTTTGGAAGTTCGATTGAACCACTAGCACTATTGATAACAAAGCCTCATGTCCCTTGAACCTTTCAAGGAAGTAGTCCTCTTGTGGATTTCAGCAAACGAAACTTTTCAGCTGTATAGCTACACACCAGATAGCGGAAAAACACCATTCGTATATGCTTTAAGACCGTAAGATTGTCAGTGCAAGTAACTAATATATTTGTTGCCTAATGATGTGATACATGATAAAATATGTACCATAAATCCAAGTTGTTTATGTAAACAAGTCAGCTATATATAGTTGTGACAGTGGTGCACTTCCCAATCTTGCGGCTTACTCTCTCGAATAAAGGCTTCTCTGCTTCCGCTTTGATACATAACAAAATCATTGATTGAAGCAAAGGAAGTGACAAGCGTGAATTTCTTCGCACGTCGCTTAGATCTTAAAGTATTTTTGAAACTGAGATCTCTTGTGTGCCGCAAAATAACTTGTCTCTTATGTAAGTAGAAGTGGAGGATGAATTCTTCTCAGTTTTTGCAGATTCACCAGTCGAAACTTGTCTGCTGCAATAATAAACCGCATGTTCCGTCTCTTCGCGCTGTAATTGATAGTGTTGGCTTTCAACTTGAAAGCAGCGCCCCTCTCGATTTTCTCGCGGGATATAAGGGTTCAAACTTCGAAAAAACTGCCTTGGAGTCGATGCGCGCAACCACAATCGAGCCGTTTTTGGACGAGTTTACCTATTCCGCGCGGGACCACCGCGGCTGCCCTTGCAATGTGCATGCTATTCAGTGCAGAAATTAGAGACGACAGATTTTCGTGCCAAGGCCTTCCGACTTTTATAAATTCTTGTCCGAGCTTCCTTTTTGGAAAGTGCGTAAGCCCTAATGTCGTTTCACCCGATTTGAAGCTAGGAGTTGAGTTTCATGAGGAGAAGGCACAAATTTTGCAGAAAAGATCAAATAGGAAAATTTGCCGAGACACTGCCAAAGCTGAACGTATCAAGTTGGTTTGATCGATCTAATTTTACCTCCTTTCTGATTCTTTGTTTCGTTTAAACTTTGGATTGTTTTACATGTTCCACATCAATAACCTAATATCAAGTCTTTAATTTGCCAAGAACACTTACAAATTTTAATGCACTGTCCGCAATAAATTCTAAAATGAACAATTGTACCTCATCATGAATGGTCCTCTGGTTGTTCTTTGAACTATGAGAATATGAAACAAGCATGAAGCTAAAGCGGTGCATTAATGGCGAAAAAATAGTTAGGATTCAAACCACTTCGCGTAGATGATGCATTCAAGATATGATTGTCATCAAATCTTTATCCTGATAAGCAACAAAAATCATAAATTACATTCTTCAAATGACGCAAGCATACTTCTTACGACGAATGTAATTGGTCAATGTTTTAACGGGTTCCACTCATCAAAACCGGTTCATAACTGAAAACAGCAAAGCATAAGTTGATTTTTACGTTATATATAGTTCCGACTCACAGACTGCACTAAAACAACAAAAAATAGCAGCAGTAATCCATCATTTTATAATCACTGAAAAAGAATTCTAAAAAGTAGAATGAAGATGATATCAAGACAACGCATGATTACATCGAATGTTTCGTGTTTCGAATGTTTTATGGGTGTTTTTAGGTGTTTCGAATTATTTTATCAGCGTTAAGGATCTAAACCAATGGCAACAGGAAAAGTGCTAAGTAAAAAAAAACTGCGCTTATCGTCATAGTTGTGACAGTTCCGGGTTCACTTTTTCCCTTGCTAGCTGTTTTCATCCGCATTCCGAATCGGACACAGGAGAGCTCTTCTAAAGGCACGAATCTTCTCTTTCTAACAAGTGTGCTATTTCCCAACCATGCTACTCCACTTGCATAGCTTTTTGCATCATGTTGTCATATTACATGAATACTGGAGCGGAAAATGAGGAGCATTGTTCCTTT